TTATAATATTTCAAGGAGATTTCTCAGAGAAACCCGATGACCTTCCACTTGAGATATTAGATATTCTTTTTTATTATTATTATTATTTGAGACAGAGTCTCACTCTATTGCCCTGGCTAGAGTGCCATGGCATCAGCCTAGCTCACAGCAACCTCAAACTCCTGGGCTCCAGTGATCCTCCTGCCTCAGCCTCCAAAGTAGCCGGGACTACAGGCATGTGCCACCATGCCCGGCTAATTTTTTTTCTATTTTTGGTAGACACGGGATCTCACTCTTGCTCAGGCTGGTCTCGAACTCCTGAGCTCAGATGATCTGCCTACCTTGGCCTCCCAGAGTGCTAGGATTAGAGGTGTGAGCCACTACACCCGGCCAATCATCTATATTTCAAACTATGCCATGCCATTGGTTTCCTAATTTTTCTCTGGATGATATTAGTACCTGGATGAATTATTAATAGTATTAATACTGAAACTTTTTTCCATCTGCAAAATTTTAGTCTTTTTTATATGCTACATGTGAGATGTCTTTAGCTTAATTACCTTTTATTGAGGAAGCACTACTCTGAGTATTTCAAACCACAGACTCTTCCTATGCACTGGGTATATGAGTGAGGATAAAGGCTGTTATAGAAAGTTGCTGGTGTGTGGAAAAGACACGGACCCAACCCTCAAGGAGTTTGCAGGGAGAGTGAAAGATGTGCATGCTAACACCCAAAATATATAATGTCTTAGTATTTAGATGACTGTGAGTTTCTTAAGCAAAAAACTTGAGGTCTCTTCCTGACCCTATATGATAAGAAGTACCGATAAAATTAGCCTTACTTAATTTAGCTAAACTATTGTTTACTCATATGTAATGTAACTATGTAGAGAGACAGTGCTAAACCTCAACTCTCGGTCCAAAGACCTCTTCACTATTATTTTGGTTTGTTATTAACGACTAGGTTGTAGGAATTGAGGTTCCAACTCAACATTGAGGAAGATATATGTTATTATGACAAGGTCAACAGAAATAAAAAGTCACTCAATTCCACATTACATTGTTATTTGGGAAAGGTTGAAAATAATTTCAGTAGATAAGAGTTCTTGTCTTCATTTTTCCCAGTCTGTAGAGGTGAACTGCTTCATTTGCTGCCACAAGTATCTGAAATGGATCGACAGTCTACCAAAGAGAGAAACAAAAATTACGCACATAGAATCTGAAGACCCATGTCCTAACTCATGGTAACCCCAGTGTCAAGCTCTTTTATTTCACCACAGGTCCTATGGACTACATTTTCAAACCTATTATCTCGAAGGCCTGGGTAGTCAGAAAATCATATATAGGATGTAAAAGCTGCAGGTAACTTATATAAATAGTAAAAATTTAAGAAATGACATTTATTGAGAGCTGATATTATGGGAAATGTCACTAAATATTTTACCTGTGTTATTTTCTTTAATTCTCAAAACTACCCTATGACATTGCTGTTATTATCATTCGTATGTAATAGATGAAGAAACCAAGGCAAAGAATGTCTAGGTTCGAATCCCAGCTCTGTCACTTACCACCAGGCATTTGCCATTTTGTCAGAGCCACATCACAACCTTTCCTATTTCCTAGGGCAGGGCCTGGCAGGCACTTCTGCCTCCATTCACCATTAAATTCATGGTTGGTCATGTCTGACTTGGACAAGAATTTTTACCTGATGATGACAGAATTTTAGGCTGACCTATAACATCACAAAAAATTCACATATTCTTAAATGTCCAGTGGGGCTCATTCATTCTCACACTTTGTACTTACCACTGTTAGATTTATCAATTTGGGGACCATAGGTTCCTTACCATATTAATGGAACCTTACTCCAGCTTAGTCTTTTTAGCTTTCTGATCTCACCATTTTATTTGTATTTTAGCAGGATCTAGACACAAATATTAAGGAAGAAAATTTTAAAGAATAAAGTATCACACTTGATCCAAGGATATTCATTTGACACATGGAAATTAAACACAGCGGGTTTAATTATTAAATAATCAATAACATTGCCCTTCCTTAGACAAAACCTTAACAAGGGAAGGACAGGGAAACATATAAAGATATAAAAGCAGCATAAAAGACAATTTTAATAACTAGGCAGCCAGGTGTGGTGGCGCACACCTGTAATCCCAGCACGTTGGGAGGTCCAGGCAGGAGCATCGCTTGAGAGCATGAGTTTAAGACCAGGCATGGCAACATAGTGGGACCCTGTCTCTACAAAAAAAATTTTAAGGATTACAAGGCAGATCTAATTCCTGGGCTCAAGCCATGCTCCTGCCTCAGCCTCCCAAATACCATGTTTCCCCGAAAATAAGACCTACCCATAAAATAAGCCCTAGCAGGATTTCTAAGCATTTGCACAATATAAGCCCTACCCTGAAAATAAGACCTAGTGATGGGCATGGCTATGCAGCGTATCTGCACAACCCATGGCATTTCGTTGTGGAGCGGTAAAGAAGACAAGCAGCCCTTCTCATCTGCCCCATGAGAGCTCTATTGCTCAACATAAGAGATTGGGGCCAATGGTTCTAAAGGAAATAGAGTCGCAAGAAATTCAGGATGGAATTCGGGGTTTGCAGAGTTATGATGATGCTCCAGAAGAAGATGACTTAACTATATTTGAATAAATGTAGATTGTTGTACCGTACTTAAAAAAAATAACACATCCCCTGAAAATAAACCCTAGGTTGTATTCTTGAGGAAAAATTAATATAAGACCCTGTCTTATTTTCAGGGAAACATGGTAGCTGGGACTCTGCTGCCCACACTACCACAAATGACTAATTTTTTAATATTTTATTTTTGTAGAGATGAGGCCTTGCTATGTTATATAGGCTAGTCTCTAACTTCTGGCCTCAAGTGATCCTCCTGCCTGTGTGTGAACCATTGTGCCCAGCAACCTGGGAAGGATTTCCAATCTATGTCTCTTGAGTCATCTAGGGAGATTTCTAGGCAAAGCCAGTTTTGAATGGGCTAGAAAATCCACTGAAGAGCTTCAAGCGGACAACTTCAAAGGGAGCTGCCCCTCTAGGGCAGGAGGTCAACCTTCCATATGGGGTGATCCCCTCAGCACGCCAAAGAAACAAAAAACACTAATATGAAGATAATGTTCTAATGAATTAAGAATGTAGGCCGGGCGTGGTGGCTCACGCCTGTAATCCTAGCTCTCTGGGAGGCCGAGGTGGGCGGACTGCTCGAGGTCAGGAGTTCATGTACCATTAATATTTAAAGTGTAACAGTTCATGGTATTATTATACTCACAATGTTGGAACTGTCGACCACAATCTACTTCCAGAACTTTTCATCATCCAAACAGAAACTCTGTCCCCATTTAGGCAATCCCCCTCAAGTTTCTCCTCCTCTGGCCCTGGTAACTCCGTTCTACTCTTCTGTCTCCTCGAACTTGCCTATTGTAACTACCTTCAATATGAGTGAAACCTACAGTATGGGTCCTGTTGAGCCTGGCTTATTTCTTTGAGCATAAGTCTGCTGGGTTCGTGTGCACTGTAGTGTGTATCAGAATCTCATCCCTTTCAAGGCTGAAGATGTTCCCATTCATGTGTTGGTGGACACTGGGTTCTTTCTACCTTCTGATAAGAGTTAGTTATTTTAAAACTATCCAGGAGGCCGGGCGCTGTGGCTCACGCCTGTAATCCTAGCTCTTGGGAGGCCGAGCGGGCGGATTGCTCAAGCAGGATTCAAAACCACCTGAACAAGAGCGAGACCCCATCTCTACTATAATAAAAAATTAATTGGCCAACTGATATATATATAAAAATTAGCCGGCATGCGTGGCACATGCCTGTAGTCCAGCTACTCAGGAGGCTGAGGCAGAAGGATCGCTTGAAGCCAGGAGATTGAGGTTGCTGTGAGCTAGGCTGACACCACGGCACTCACTCTAGCCTGGACAACAAAGCGAGACTCTGTCTCAAAAAAAAAAACTATCCAGGAAAGAAACAACATTGAGCCAAAGTGTGGAGATAGTGAATTTTAAACTGGGGAGTCACCGTGGGAACATGTTCCTGAGTTACTTTTTGCATGTATCACCCTCAGAACATCCATGTGAAAGGGTTCAGACTGGTGTATTGGGGACAACTTAATTTAAATTTTGCTGACATGGGTGTTGTTATAAGAAGTTTATTTAAGAAAGACCATGCAGGAAATTGCAGACTGGTGGCCAGGGTGGCAGCCTGGGTTTAGAACTCAAGCTGACTGGACAAATGGTGGAGGGAGGGTCTTTCTGTGCACTGGAGGAAATCATCAGGGTGCCTGGGGCCCAGTCACCTAACGCTCCAGGCAGGAAGGACCCAAGGGGGAGAGAGGAACTGGAGTGCTCCTCTCTGCAGCCATGGGTCCTCTGGGCCAGTCTTCACCCAGCGGGATGTGACCCAGGGAGAGGGGCGCCTGTTGCTTGAAGCACTGGCCCATGAGCTGGAGAAGCACCCCGAACACGTGGAAGCCCCTGGCTGTAGATCCAGGAAGCAGGAGGACACAGCCTGCTGGCAGGTGCTGGGACCCAGCCCTGACTCTGAGGAACCTGCCGCCGTGGAGGATGGGTGGTGCTGGAAAAGTTCACAGCATGGGCCAATCTGGGAATGTAACCAGCTCTATGAACAATTTCAATGACCGCTCAGCTCTATGTTTTTAAATAATCTTCCTTAATAACTTAACTTGACTTTTTGAGTTTTTCCAGAATGGTGGAATTTCTGCAAGAGAAGGGGGTGCCTTGTGCCTCTGGGCACATTCCTGACCCAAAGACTCACCATCCAACACACATGCCCCAGTGCACACAGGCCTGGTTAAAGACCCTACTCTCCATTAGTTGGGGAGACGGAACTGAGGCTGGTTCCCACGCTCTCCAGAGAGACATCTTTCCATTACAAAGATTCTCCCACCTTGGCAGTCTTCTTCCTTCCTCCAGAATTGACTGTCTCTCCGGGACGCAGACCTAGTCAACTATACTGTTGTGGAC